CTCTCTCTCTCTCTCTCTCTCTCTCTCTCTCTCTCTCTCTCTCTCTCTCTCTCTCTCTCTATCTATCTATCTATCTATCTATCTATCTCTCTCTAGGTGCCTTGGCCAAATTGGTCGAGGCTACGAGTGATCCTCATCTGCGATGTCTACTGCAGATGTTGAGGAAGGAGTTCCTGCGGAGGAGACAGGGGGTAACGGGTACCCGTGGTCCGGGGTACGAGGTCGGAGGGTACGGGTAGGTGGTAGTGGATAAGGGGTACCAACGGAGTTAGGGACAGGGATGGTGAATAGGAAAATGCTGGCAATGGGATGAAGCGGGGTTTGTCACGAGGAATCGGCCCGGAGACTGGGTCAAACAGGATGGATTCGAGGCAGCGGCCTTGTGACTTGATCAGAAAACTGGGGGGTACGACTGCGGTTTGAAACCTGGCGGCTAGACCAGGGGACTTCTTGAAATCGCTATTTTGAAATTTTAAATCTTCTTGAATTGTGAAAATCCGGTAGTCGGGAGAGAGAGGGGACTAATGTAGGGACGGGCCAGGGTACGAGTTCGGCAGCAGGGCCAATGCTGCCGTGAGCTGAGGGATTTCGATCCCACCTCCTGAAGAGTCCGAACGTTGTCGGATGCAACTGGTCGAGGATACTACGAGCTCAGGGGAGGAGCATTGGTGATGGCAGGGCCATGGTGGAACAGGATGAAAGGGAAGGAGAGGGGATGGGAGAGAGAGGTAAGGGGAGTTTTATTCGTGCTCGTGATTTTATATCTCTTGTTTAAAAACTCTCGTGGGAAGAAGGATATTTTCATTCTGATTTTGCTGTGAGCTTGAAAGTTGCTATGACTGTGTGGCCGCAGTTTTCCTGCACTTCAGGGCGCATGGTAACTGGGAGCACTGATAACTCCACGGTGGCTATGTCTACAACGGGTTTTTGAAGTACCTGAGTTAACGAGAGATCTGACGAGGTAAGTTAACGTTGTACATACAGAGACTAGGAGTGTGTTAGTCGTAAGGATGTACGGGGGTGGAAAAAATCAGCGAGGGGGAATGGGAGTTTACGGGAATGCGGGCGGTGGCGATAATGGATATGGCGGGTACACAGGCAATAACGGATACAACGGGGACATAAGCGGAAACATAGATGGTAACACGGGTGGATACGTGGGAGGCGCCTCAGGCAGTAATGGCGGAATGGGGGGTAGGCAGCCCCTGACGTGTTATACATGCGGCAAGCCGGGTCATTATTCCCGCGATTGTTGGTTGAAGCGGGGACGGCAGGATGACATCGAGATGGAAGAGATACGGCAGCAGCATAGGGTGATGATGCAGGAGAGGCGTGAAGCGGAGGAAAAGAGAAGGGCAGAAGAACGAAGAAACTGCACGAGGAAAACGAGAGAAGACGCGAACAGGATATGGTCCGACGTACGGAAGAAATCAGGCTTCAACTAGAAGCGGGACTTGAGGAGAAGTGGCGGCAGCAGACAAAGCAAGTGGTAGAAGCCGCCGCAACGGCGAAGGCAAAAGCGGAGGAGGCGAGAGCCAGGGCTGAAGAGGCGCATGCCAAGGCGGACGAGGCACAGGCGAATTTTGAGAAGGCTAGAATCGAGAAGGTGAGGATGAGTGTGCGCAGGACACGGGATACACCGGCGGACTCGAGTAGGAAGAGAGTCAGGGAGTACGTATCCGAAGAAGTGACCTCGGAGGATTCAGATTCGGATGGCGACACCACTGACTCCGACGAAGAGCTGAGGAGAACTATTGAACGTTTGAAGATGGAGAAAAGAGCGAGAAAGTCGGGGAAGAGGGGAAGATCGAAGAAACGGGAAGATCTGGCGAATGAGAAGACACCTTACAAGACACCTGACAAGATTCAGTCCACGACGGAACGGGTAGAATGTTCGAAAGGGAAGGCACGAACAAGGTGTAATCGAGAGGATATGGAAGACTTTTTGAGGAATACAAACGACATTGGGTGCGGTTTCGGGGAACCATGGGATGAGATCAATCAATGTCGGGGCTCACCGAGGATGGGAGGAATAAGGTTCAACATACCGAGGGGCGACGGTGAGATGCGGGCAGATGAACCAAGGACACCAATGGAGAAAGGCTACAAGGGTTTGGCGGCAAAATGTTCCAGGGAAGGTATTATTGACTATTGTCTTTCAACACAAAAGATCCTATCCATCGATGCTACGAAAGGTCTGTCAGAAGAAGGGCATCAGATATACGAGAAAACCTGAGATCATTGATGTCCTAGCGAGGGAGCAAGTGAAACTTGCATACGAGGGTTTTGCGAAGGTGGAGACGGAGCCAGGGGAGGAGGAGAGAGCAGAAGTGAACCTGGGGGAGGATATGGCGGGACCTAAAAAAAGAGGAACGAGGTCGTCGGTTCAATCAGCACCGGCGAGAGTCACTTTGAGATCAGTGAAGAAGCAGAAAGCGCAGGAGTCAGACTGACTGTCTGCGCCTCCTATGTCCGTAACGCTATGGGAAACTCTGAAAAACCATATGCGGTTGCGGTCATCCCTCTGGGGGCAGGGACGAAGCAGTGAGCAACTAGCGACAATCGAGCGTGTAATCACGACTACTACTGTTCTTTTGGCGTTAAGGGGGCAGATACACTGGTTAACTAAGTATCTGGTACGATCAGAGATCACCGCGAGTTTGGATCTGAAGGAAGACGGTGTTTACATCGTGGCGTCGCCATGGTCTAAAAAGGTTTACGTGGGTAGTACAATCCGGAGCACCATGCAGAGATGGCGTGAGCATCTGAGCAACGCTGACACCGAGGTCATCGGGAGTTCACCGGAACTGTACCGATGGATGCGCCATTACGGTCCGGGCAATTTCGTGATTATCCCCGTCAGACACGCGAATGAAGAGGATGATCGGGCCTTCAAGAGACACCTCATACAGGATTTTTCGCCTTCACACAACACGTGCAACACTAGTAATCGAGGGACGGGTAAGACTCGGAACAGGAGGAAAGGTAAGTGGGAGAGGAAGAGGTTGAAAACAGGACAGCGTGAGAGGAAGGGCGTCGTGCGTTTCATGCACGGAAGAGCGTACGAACGGAGGGTATCGCTGAAGACCTGGTTGGAAGAAGAATGGATAAAGAACACGAAGGGCGAGAGGAGGGTGCAGTTCCACGGGGGAGAGATCTGGTGGGACGGGTGGAGGGAGATTAAGAGGCTTTTCGGGATGACGAAAGTGAGGATTAATGGGAGGGTGAAGAAACTTTCTACGATCAAGGGGGAACTACAGCAAGGATTGACGGTGGTGTTCATCGGGATCACTAAGACAACGACGACAATGGCTACGTACATGCGAGAACTGAGGTGGATGCTCAAGAAACCGATATTATTCAAAAAGATGGTGAGCTATACCACCAACCAACTGGTGGAAATGTACCGGGCGGCAGGCTTCTTCAGAGAGAAGAAGACCAAGAATGATTTGAGACTAAAGATCGACAGGGCGGTGAAGAAGAAGACAGGGGTAGGCATACGGAAGAGGGTACAAGTGAAGGTCACGTACGATAAACAGTTGGTGAAGAGGGAGATAAGACAGGCGACAGAGGGTGTGGTGGGAAGAAAGGTGAAGGATGCAGCCATCGCTAATCAGATTAAAGGAAGGGTACGGGTGACCTAGAAACGGAACAGGACGGTAGGAGGGATCATGCATAATCATCGAAAACATGCACATGTCGGGGAACAGCTCTACACATGCAGAGCAGCAGGTCTTCCTACCATAGATGGACACGTGCTCACACGGTTATCTGACTTGAAGGAGGTACCGGTTTTTATGAAGAACAGTAGAAATGTGACATGTAGTTCGAAGGGTGGCGCTACACAGGCGATCGTGCCAGCTATCGTCGAGGGGACGAGTCACCTTGGAGGACAAATGGAGGATGTCGACATTCCAACCGGCGGTTTCATGAGCAAGGAAGTGACGGGGGCACCAGGGCAGGGCACGTGGGGAGGTGGCGACGTGGTGTAAGAGATTCGAGGGACTGGTACTCGCCCCGGTGGACCGCAATCAAGGCGATACGGTAGTTATCTTCCCTGTTATTTATCGGCACGCCTTTGGGAAGACCTTCGTGTGGAACCGTGACAACGAAGATGCACGGGAAAAGGAGCAGGACATCCTGCTGAGAGCGAGGAACGAGTTTGAGCAAGCCATCCTGCATAAGATCGCTGCGTGGAAGACGGACGGGCGAATTGGACGGGCGTATGTCATTCCCAAGGATAAGGATCTCGGCAGCTGGAGACCGATAGCTCCAGCCACGGGCGACCCAGCGAAAAGTGGCCAGGGCACTGCACTACCTTATGAAGCTGTTCCCAAAGGAGCAGACTTTTTACCTTAATTCAATTCAGGATCTACCTGCAAAACAGGAGGCGGTGCAGAAGAGATTGACCGAGATCGGATGTACGGGGGTGGAGGGAAGATGTTACGACATAAAAGACGTGTTTACGAAGATACCGCATGATGTCGTTCGGCGGTAAGTCTGGCAGATACTAGTATGGTATGCTAACAGAGGTTGGAGGCAGGTTAAGGTGTCCAGGAGAGGAAGAATGTGTACGCTGAGCAAGACCCGCAGGGTGACGGATGGCTATGTGGACATCCGCTTCGAGAGTATTTTTGCAATGGTGGAGTACGATCTCAACAATGCGTATGCCAACTGCGGGCAGGTGATGAGGAGACATATATCCGGAATCCCCATGGGGAAATGTAGTAGCCCGATCCTGGCCACCATTACTTGTGCGATGGCAGAGTTCGATATGCTGAAGGGGCTGGCCTCAGATCGGAAGTTGGTCGGCGGATGGAGGATCGTAGATGACATCATGGTGGTGGAGGGAAGGCAGGCGGGAGGGAGGAGTTCGAATGATGAGGTTTTCGGGAAACTAGAGACCAGCTATGATGAAAAACTGACTCTGGTTAGAAAGGACAGAGGGAAGGACTGGTGGCATTTTCAGGGCGGATCATTTTACCTGCTGCAACAACCAGTGAGACAGATGTTCGTCCTGGGGACGAAGAACCTGGTAACACTACGGGAGACTGCCAGTATCAGGTATCAAACGATGCAGGACTATGCATTGTACTCTGAGAAAAGGTCAAAGAAGTCTACGCTGGAAGCCACCCTGAAGAGATTGTGGAGCTCGACTTCATGCCAGGTCTTGGTCATTGGCTCGATAGCCTATACGCTGTGGGAGGCATACCTCCGGGGCATAGCCCCGGAGGTCTCTCTAGGTGCCTTGGCCAAATTGGTCAAGGCTACGAGTGATCCGAATCTGCGATGTCTACTGCAGATGTTGAGCAAAGGGTTCCTGCGGAGGAGACGGGGGGTAACGGGTACCAGTGGTCCGGGGTACGAGGTCGGAGGGTACGGGTAGGAGGTAGTGGATAAGGGGTACCAAGGGAGTTAGGGACAGGGATGGTGAATAGGAAAATGCTGGCAATGGGATTAAGCGGGGTTTGTCACGAGAAATCGGCCCGGAGACTGGGTCAAACAGGATGGATTCGAGGCAGCGGCCTTCTGACTTATCAGAAAACTGGGGGGTACGACTGCGGTTTAAAACCTGGCGGCTAGACCAGGGGACTTCTTGAAATCGCTATTTTGAAATTTTAAATCTTCTTGAATTCTGACAATCCAGTAGTCAGGAGAGAGAGGGGATTAGTGTGGGGACGGGCCAGGGTACAAGTACGGCAGCAGGGCCAACGCTGCCGTGAGCTGAGGGATTTCGATCCTACCTCCTGAAGAGTCCGAACGTTGTCGGACGAAACCGGTCGAGGATACTACGAGCTAAGGGGAGGAGCATTGGTGATGGCAGGGCCATGGTGGAACAGGATGAAAGGGAAGGAGAGGGGATGGGAGAGGGAGGTAAGGGGAGTTTTATTCGTGCTCGTGATTTTATATCTCTTGTTCAAAAACTCTCGTGGGAAGAAGGATATTTTCATTCTGATTTTGCTGTGAGCTTGAAAGTTGCTATGACTGTGTGGCTGCAGTTTTCCTGCATTCTCTCTCTCTCTCTCTCTCTCTCTCTCTCTCTCTCTCTCTCTCTCTCTCTCTCTCTCTCTCTCTCTCTCTCTCTCTCTCTCTCTCTC